AAGTAATCGGAGAAGTCGAGGACCTTGCATTTGTCACCGATCGGGGACAGTCTATAATAAATGGTATTGCTGAAGTTTTTCCCGATGCACATCATGGGTATTGCATGTACCATATACAAGGCAATTTGAAGACCAGATATCGGGGCAAAAGCATCGTTTCATTGTTTAGGAGAGCGGTCGAAGCTTACAGTATTGAAGAGTATAATAAGTACATGGTTGAAATAGGAAGCAAATCATTCTCGGCGTGGGACTATCTAACGAAAATGGGGATTGAACATTGGGCGCGCTCATATTTTCCAGGACGTCGATACAACATGATGACGTTAAACAGCGCGGAGTCTCTCAACGCATTATTTAAGAGGGATCGAAAGTTACCCATTCGCGCACTGATTGAGAATATCCGTACGAAGCTGTAGCAGTAGTTTTACGATCGACGTGCGGAATCACATAATTGCACAAGCATGCTAGCCCCAGCACAAGAGGTAAAGTTCTTCAAGGCTGCAGAGGCTGCGAGAAAGTTAAATGTCGAACCACTAGACGAGTCGCACTTCTCTGTGAAATGTGCACGTCATACGACATATATGGTAGATTTAAGTGATGGAACATGTATTTGTAAACAATTTCAGTTAGAGAGTTTTTCATGTGAGCATGCAGTTGCGGTGGCTATGTATCGAGGATTTGCAGCGAGATCATTGTGCTCTCCTTATTACACTGCTGAAAACTGAAGAGCTACATATGTTGAAACCATATTTTCGCTTCCAAACAAAGCCGAGTGGGAAGTTCTCGATCATATTCGCCCGTTCAATATACGGTCGCCATCTCTCATTGAACCACGTGGTCCTGGACATCCAAGTACTTCTAGAATACCATCTACTGGAGAGTTTTTCCGACCGCGTAAGTGTAACAGGTGCAAATCAGTAGGACATACTCGCCAATTTTGTACAAGTCAGGTTCTCCTAAATGACAGTTAGAGCATTGTGTATTTCCATTGAAATGAAAAGTATTTACATTGAAATGAATAGTATTTATATTGAAATGAATAGTATTTAAATGAATAATTACAAAAAATATTTACAAATAATTTATGGATCACAATTAAATTTGTATAAATCACACGCTAACTTATTTAGCCAATTCTGTATCCATGACTGGTTGATTCCATCAACCTTATGTGCTATACTAAAAAATTCTATGTATTTGATTGCGAAAATCCCATAGTCGCCCCTGCAAATGAACAAATAGGTGTTAGTTCGGTTCTAATTACGTACAAACTAATTACTAAATTAAAAATAAAAGATTACAAAGACTTACGATATAGAATGTCTCCTCGTCGTCGTGTCCCGCACGATGGCTAGTTTGTCATCCACAGTCAAGCTCGCATCTCTAGCCATCATCGGAATGATCACAGTCACCGGCTCTAAGATCTGCTCGAGCTATCCCTGTGTCAGACATGAATGATCGGGGTCGTACACATATATCGTCGTATCAGGGAACACGATCTCCAGTGCAATGCAGTGCTGATTCGCGATAACTAGAATGTACAAATGCGTACAACCCTCTCATGGCTTCCCCCAACACTCGGTGACAGCTCGATGACCCACTGGAGCATATACACGGGAAGCACGTACTCGTTACCTAGAAACTGGAGGGACTGATACTCAATAGTAACGACACGGAAGAACTCAGTGTTCAGTATTATGCGGCCAGGCTTGTGGAATGATTGTGGATATCTTTCAACTCGATCGTGCAACAAGTCTATGACCATGTCGATGTGCTACATCAAGGAAAATAAAGACAAATACTTATTTCATTTACCAAATTAAACATAACGTATACAAAAAGTAACAATAACACTTCATTTACATCGTCGGTGAGCCAAGCCCTCTGAGTGGTGATATCATAGAACCTTTTGTTTGCGTCCAATATCGTCTTTTCGGCTATCATGCGTGGCTCTGGAAATAAAATAAAAAAATATTAAAGGAAGCATATACGAGTAATTCTAGTTTACTAAATCACACAATACTTACCCAAGCAACATTCTTCGCCACTCAGCCTCAAATGCTTTCCACTTCGCATGGTCGACCTCCCGAAACAGATTGGGGTACTTCCCATTGAAGAACCTCCTCCTCTTCGCCTCAGCCATGAAGGGAGAGACGACGTACTGTGACGGCACTCTCGGCCTCTTGCCGACCATTGTCTCCGGCACGTCAACAGCACGCTTTTTTACCTTATACACTGCCACCTTCTGCACCTCAGGGCTCGTCACCGTCTCCATCCCCTCATCTGCCACGGTCTCCAATGGGGCCACTCCCTCATTTGCCACCGTCTCCCTCCCTGACGGATCCCCCTCCTCTGTCACTGCTCCCGTCCCATCGCGCTCCACGGATAAAATAAACGATTCTCATGCATCATCATCATGTATGTATGATTGCCGGAGACCCCCATCTCTATCACCCTCTCGATCACCATCTTCGTCAACCCATCGCCTACCAGCTATATCACGCCGAAGTGCTACAATCTCATTCGACAAACCTTCGACCCTTTCTACCAAATGTCGTCCCAGATCATCAACCCTTTCTATCATCTCTCGACGCAGCCTGTCGACCTGTCCCTCTATAAATATGCTCAAACGAGCGTACATATCATCAAAATAGTGCCCCTGACTACGTGCGGGAGATCCACATGTAAGCTTTCTGGACGGGGGAGGCGGATGAGATGCCCTGGGCGGTGGAGGAGATGTCGTTGCAAAACGCCTAACTCACGCACAAGACCCTAAGCCTCCTCCTCCATCGACGACGTCAACTCAGTTATGACTTCAAGCGGACATATTAACATTTGAACTGATTAACGATCATGCAATCGGATGTTAAATCACGTACAATATAAATTACAAATGCATAATACTCACCTGAGGGTCGTCCAGGATAGCCGATAACTGTTTTCCAGTGGGACATCCCTCCAATTGAGATGGTCTCCAATGGTGCATCCGAGGGCAACATGTCTCCCCTCGCCTCGCAAAGCAGGCACCCAATATGGGGACGGCCTCATACGCCCAGATCTGCAACACATACAGTTATTATATATAAATTCAATATGAAAATAATTTTAACATTCATTATGTTAACCATTTACTTGCACCGTCAGGGGTAATCCATAGGTGTCGTACTTATGCATGGCTCCCTTCGGCTTCGAGTGCGATCTGGTGAAAACGTGTACAGTGTCCTCAAAACATCTCCAGCCCCACGGATAGTCGTTGAAACGATGGATGTCGTCAACGATCTCCAGATGGAAGATGTCGATCGCAGTCTTCTTATAGTAACACCGCACCATGCTCTCAAGGATGTAGACCAGACCTAACTTCAGTCTGTCTAACATCTTATCACACCTCCTGATTGCGTCCAACGGATGTGTAAGAAGCACAGTACCCTGTCCCTCGAAGTAAGCGTCCTGAAGCCTATTTCTTCTCTGAATCTCATCACCAGCTGCTTCATCGCTCGTAATCTTTAATCCCGTGATTAGAGTAAACTCGAACATCGAAAAACTGACGATTTTACCCCCGATTGCGAAGTGGAGGGCATTACTGTCGACTGGACTCAGCAATCGACATAGAAGTGCATCAATAATCTGACCCGAGTACTGCAGTTCTCTCAATGGGTACAAAGGCCACAGGAAGGACTGATGCAGCATATCAGCATGCTGATCATCAAGCAGTTCTAACACAGCTGTGAAACTATCAAAGCTACTATTCCACGTAGTTTTGCCTGGCATTTGTCTCAACTCTACATCAAGATGATAATCCATCCTGTAAAAATTCAAAATGTTAGAACATTGTACAAGTGATAATAGTAATAACAGAAAATTTAGCGAACGAAATTGTAACTACAATATACAAAACGCAGATTTATAATAATTAAAATAATCAATAATGTGAAATTTTTTATCGTATTATCAATAATGTCAATTTTTCACAATTATCACAATTTTTTTAATCAATTCAAGTTCAAAAAATATTTAAATTCGATGAATGAAAATAATATTATTTATCAAAAACTAATAATAAAAATAAAAATAAATATTAAATTTCAAATTAAATTTCCAACAATTATTTCAAATTACAATTAAAAATTTCCCAACAATTATTTCAAATTATTATTTACCAAAAATGAAAAAATAAAAATAAATATTAAAACAAAAATTAAATGTAAAAATTTTATTTAAATTTAGTCTTAACAATTTTATTTAAATTTGACAAACTAAATAATTTATTATTTATTAAAACCAAATAATAAAAATTATTTAAAATTAAATTATTAAATTATATGTGAAAAAAATTGGGCAAAAAAAAAAAGTAAAAATGGACCGACAGTCGGCCCATGTCGACTGTTAGCAGTTGGCATGGGCCAATTGTTTAACAGTCGGCCCATACGGACTGCAGTCGGTATGGCCGTCGGTATGGGTCTACTGTGTTACCCGACTGTCAGAGTCGCAGTCGGTATGACCGACTGTGTTACCTGACTGTTAACAGTCGGTTTAGAGTCGACCCGACTGTTAACAGTTGGGTAAAAGCAAAAAATCGTCGATTTCAAGGCTTTCTCATTAGAAAATCATCATTTCCGACGAGGAAAGCTTCCAAATTCAAACAACCAATCATTTTTTACACTATACAAACCCCATTTTACTTATATAAACAAAAATATATTGAAAAAATCTCCAACAAATAAATCATTCACACATTTAACCAAAATCTAAATATTAATCCAATCAAATAATGGTTACCTTAATAAGACTGTTCGTCGGCGATGGATAGCAACTTCTTCGACCAACTGAAAACCGTCCTTGCTTTTTCAATTTTGTGAGATTCGGTTTTTGTAAGAGCCAAGTGTATTTTGAGATTTTAAACTTTAAATTCGAATTTTTTTTTTAATTAAAAAACCAATCAAAGTTCACTTTGAAAATATGGATGGGTTATCGGTCATTTACAACAATTTCCTCATTTTATCGGGTCGTATATGTATAGTTCTGGAAAGCTCTCTCTCTCTCTTTAGGTGCCTCATCTCTCCACACTCAAAATAACACGTACTACACACACTGAGTGCTCCTTTCCGCCTCGCTCTGCTGCACTACCATAAGCTCAATTCTGCAAATCCCTTCAGGTATCCATTTTCCATTTCCCCTCCATTATACGTATGAGCATGTATGTTCAGAATTGCTTAGTTGTTTGTTGAATAGGTTATTTTAATGAAAATCACATTCGACAGGTTTTAAGTGATTTATTTTTCATTTCAATTATAATTTCACGGTATGAAGTTATTAATTTTGCCTCTTTTTGCGAGAAGACTGCTTTATTTGGTTTTGATTACTGTTGAAATTTTTTTGGTTTTGGGGGAAGTTGAATGCGCTGCAAATTTGGAATTTTTATGAGATAGCTGAAGACAGATTTACATATGGGCAGATAGACTGGCTCTTGGGAATCATAAAGCCTGTAGTTTAGACCAGATGAAACTAGTGAAATAATTGGAATTAATTTGGTTTGACGATGATTTTTAAGCACCATATATATTGCTGAAATTTAATGTAGCGGATAAAATTGTTTTCACAACTCTAGTGGAATCGATTATCATGAAGTATTTGCTGTTCAAAATTTTATAGCTTCAGTAGTGCAACTTGTTTATTCGATATGGTTCTATAATTCTACTTCGTTACTTTCCAATATCTTCTTGGTATATGATGGTGTTGTCTCTGTGTGTAAATTTTTAGAAGTTTTTATTTCTTTTTTTGGTTATCTTGCTGCATTTGTGTTTCTGTGTTGCATCTGTTGTGCTTGACCTACATTTTGAGATATGTCTCAACAAATAAATGTCTTTTTTTCTTACATGTGCAGTGAATTGAATGGCAATCATACCTTGTGGAAGTACATGGGGAGTTCAGCCTCAATTTATGTCAAGATCCTTCATTATAAATAAATTTTCAACATCGCCCCTTTGGTAAGCATGTTTTGAAATTATCTTCTAAAAATTTCCAATGTAAATTTATGGGTAAACCATTTTAATTTTAATAAACTAACAACTCATATTTAATCCTTTTTATGATTTTATCTTCGGTAATTTTCCTTGCTTAATTGATTATATCTGTGAAAAATTGTATGCTGGTCAAGGAGCTCTCTAACCTTTACAAATGTATGTTACATATCTGGGGAAGTGAACTCACCCATAAAAAATGTAGAACCTTGTTTGAGATGAATTAAAGAAAAATTTCTTTTGTTTTCTTGATAGTGATGATTTATTGTTTGTCAAAGTTTTCTGAACCACACATTTGTAAATTCATTGTTCACGTTCTTTGCCCAAAATGAAAACCACAGGACAATATCATTGTTGGTATTACCAATAGAATTACATACTTGTAATGCTATCTCAATGATATTTTTCCCTTTTGGATTATGTGCTTGAAACATAGTCAAACTCAATTAGGAATATAATGAACCATGAAACTCCACAAAAGTTCTGTTTACAACCAATTAAGATCTTGTAGTTCATGTTTTTCCTTATCTACACTTGGGAGGTTTACAACATGCTCTTCGTGGCACAAATCTTGGAATGACATAGTCTGGGAAATCGGAGCATTGACACTTAAGTTGGAAGCAAGTGCTTTTTTCATTTTCTAGTGGGGCTTAGCGAACTTCATAAATTATGCAAGGTTTCTATATTTTGCTGTGTTATAGATATGAAAAGAATTCCGTGATTTATTTTTCTTAATAGCTGACTGTGCAATTAGTATTCAATCTTTACTTTTGTTGTTCTTATTTTCTCTCATTTTTTGCTGACTTGGGATTCTATATTCTATCTTTTCCCCTTCTATTACGGACAATATTTCTTCTCATTTTTTCATTTGGTGCAAAAAAATTTGCCTCTGGATTCTATTATCGTGGTCTTCCATGATTCCATTCTGTATATGATTATTGTTTTCTCGCATGCAGTTTCTCAAGCAGAATCAGGTCATTGTCATCACCTAGTTCAACGTTTTTGTCTCAAAAATCCTTGAGTGCACTTTTTAGATTGGGATCATACAATAACTCACGTCAACAACGAAGAACTCGTTTGGTTGTTAGAGCTGACAGAGTGAGATTTGTCTTTTTCTGTCTTCTGGGTTTTAACTAATTTTTTATGTGACTTTCGTTATCTCCTGTTATAGTAAATTCTGCAGTAGTAACACTGAATAAATTTTCTGATGGCCTTTTTCGCCCAGGATTACTATACTGTGCTTGGTGTGTCTAAAAATGCCAGCAAATCAGAAATCAAAAGTGGTCAGTGATACCTTGCCTCCTTTTCTCTGCTAATGTACATTTATTTTCTGTGAACTAATATTGATGTGGAACTTAAGTAAAAATACAAATAGGGAAGAGAAAGAGAACAAATGGGAGAAGAATGAGAAGAAATATATTATTCTAGCTAGCTTTGCCATTTCTTTGTTGGGTCCAAGTGGACCATGGTTATCATAAGATCTTCCTTGATGATTTCCAGAACCTTCATCATTATTCAGCCACCAGATGGCCTCCACCAATTGAGGCATGGCTGTGAATCTTTTTATATAGAGCAATAAATCTTGTCTATTCTGCCCATGAGGCCTAGCTCAAGCAGGAAAGGTCGAGGCACCGGGACCTTAAGTTTGTGAATTGAAGTCCCACAAGAATAGTTGGCATAGTCTAACTCTGCATTAGTTTTTCTTTGCACTTTATGTGTATTCTTTTTATTAGCCGACTATCTTTTATTACTAATGTGATTATAATTGAGTTGTAAAGATTTACTTCGGTCATAGATTGCTTCACTAGAAAAATTTGATATCTTGTCTAAGCTATGGCGTCTCTCTCTCTCTCTCTAGCGATTGAATATTATACCTGTATTTGTTAATTTCTCTTTGGATTCCACATGTATGTTCTATTTAGTTCTTTTGCATATTTTAATGACTTCTTGAAGCAATCAAAGTTTATATTGCTTTTAGTGATTTTATTTTTTATTTTTTTGTAGTTAGCAATTTGTTTTTTAGATTTCATTTTACTCAGTTCTACATATTTAATTAAAAATTCTTGCCTGATAAAAGATGTTTGAGTTTGTGTCAAGTTTTAATTGTTTTTTCTTTCTTGTTCAGCATATCGAAAACTTGCCAGGAACTACCATCCTGATGTGAACAAGTAAGTCACAGTGCGACTTCAAACTAACAATTAAGCTTTTGAGTATGTTGATGATGTTTTTATGCTCTTTATTTAATTCTTTCTGTAATCTTCAATTGGCATGCACAGAGTTCACTCTATTGAAATTACGCATCTTTTGAACACTTTTAATAACGGTAGACAATTAAATAAACATGAGAAATTAAATATTAGAAGTGAAACTCATCTCTCTAGTCTTCCTTCTTCTGAAGAAAAGAAAGGGTAGTCAGTTAGAGTTTGATGTCATGAATTCATTCTTCTCATTAATTTTACTTATGCTAGTACTACCTAGGGCTTTCTATTAGGCATTAGCAGTTGAAATTGAAAGCTATAAATCAAGGCATTCTCTTTTCTGTAGAAAATCAACAATGACATAATTGATAATTCTGCCCATAGAATTTATTCTTTCAAAACCTGTGCAACTTTCATCAGCATGGAAGTAAACAGATACTGTAATAGTACATTCTTATTGAAGAGAACAATAAACGTCTCCTTTCAACTCTGGGAACAATGACACGAGAAAGGAAACAATATATGCTAATCTGAAATCTTAATTTTCCCTGTAGTGGAACATAAGTCTCCTAGATTTTGAGGCCCTCGTAATTTTTTCCCCTTAATAAGTACATTATGCTAGTAATAGTACAAGCTAGGATTTTAGTATAGTAGCTGAAATCGAAGTTACAATATGCTACATTTGTTACTTTTAAAGTGTTCACCTTGTGGTAATTATGCACATAAGTCATATGCTTTCAAGATATGTGCAAGAATCTTTATTAGCAATTAAGTCGATACAGCACTATGTTACAACATTCATAAAAAGGCATCTTTCACTTGAAGCTTTCATGTAAATGAGGAACATTTCGCTCAATTATATTCTTATTTCTCCTGTACTGCAGAGAACCTAATGCTGAAGAGAAGTTTAAGGAGATTAGTAATGCTTACGAGGTGAAGTATCTGATCCTTTACCCTACCCCTACCCCCAACCTCACCTTACCCAACCTTTCTCTACACTAATTTGGTTGACTATTCTTGGCTCATCATGCAAGCCAGCGGAAACTATTATTGAGGATTTGGTCACAAGTCTAACGCTTGTTCAACAGGTTTTGTCAGATGACGAGAAACGCTCGATATATGATAGGTATGGGGAAGCTGGGCTCAAAGGTGCTGGCATGGGCACGGGGGTGAGTCTTTCTGATACAATAGAAGAGTGAACCAAAAAAGAAAAAAAACATGAAGAAAAATTCGCTCATTTTACTAGTTTCTCCTAAATGCAAATGTTTTTACATCTTATGCTTCTCCGTGGCAGGATTTTAGCAACCCCTTTGATCTATTTGAGTCATTATTTGATGGTCTTGGCGGTATGGGTGGTATGGGCATGGGAGGAAGAGGATCTCGTAACCGAGCCACAGAAGGTGAAGACCAGATCTACAACCTGGTTTTGAATTTCAAAGAAGCCGTATTTGGGGTTGAGAAGGAGATTGAGATAACTCGCCTCGAGAGCTGCAACACTTGTGATGGTTCAGGAGCGAAACCAGGAACAAAGCCAACTACATGTGGCACTTGTGGCGGTCAAGGGCAAGTCGTCTCGTCAGCTAGGACCCCACTTGGAGTCTTCCAACAGGTAATGACATGTTCTTCTTGTGGTGGGACGGGAGAAATTTCTACTCCTTGCAACACGTGCAACGGTGATGGCCGAGTAAGGAAGTCAAAGCGGATTAGCTTGAAAGTTCCTGCTGGGGTAGACTCTGGCAGTCGTTTGAGGGTCAGGTCCGAGGGAAATGCTGGAAGGAGAGGGGGCCCTCCCGGGGATCTTTTCGTGAGCATAGAAGTTCTTGCTGATCCTGTTTTGAAACGGGATGACACCAACATACTTTATACTTGCAAGGTTTCATATATAGACGCTATTTTAGGAACAGCATTAAAGGTGCCAACAGTTGATGGGATGGTCGACCTCAAGATTCCACCAGGTACCCAACCTAATACAACGCTAGTTATGGCGAAAAAAGGCGTCCCTCTTTTGAACAAAAGAAATATGAGGGGAGACCAGTTGGTGAAAGTGCAAGTCGAGATTCCTAAGCGCCTAAGCACTGAGGAGAGGAAACTCATAGAAGAGATTGCCAACTTGAACAAGGCAAAAACAGCAAACAGTAGCAGATAGTGGAAGCCGACTGGCTGACTCCTTTTTTCTATTACGCTCTATGCATCGATGGTTGATGCTGTGTTGCTTACAACTGTAGCAGGCAAATTTTTCTCTGAATCAATTTATACGCGACTGAATTTAGGGTTAGGAAATTTTGTGGGTTGATATTTGTATTTTTTACCACAAAGCAAAATGTTAGAAAGATATTTGGACATACCTTTCAGCTATTTATGTGGTAGTCTATCCATATTTTTCTATAACTACCTTCTTGACTATAATTATTCAGTATTTATTGGAAAGTTATGTTTGGTTGATATCATCTTCATATAAATTCTTTGAGACAATGTTGATGAATGGTCTATGCTTGGATTTTCGTAACATGCAGTCATTTACAGAAATGTGGTAGTGTATATGAATTCGGAGGATGTTTTTCCAATAGAAAAGAGAATGTTCCCTTTCTCATTTCCATGCCCACGCATAACTAGTAGGACCTATATTTTGATATATTAATATTACATATTTGGTATGACCTAAAAATTTTGAAATAAAAAGAAAAATGAAATTCTTGTTTGGCAAGAAAAAATGAAAAGATTAGAAAAAGAAATATTGTGACAGGGAAATTAGAGTCCGTTTGATTGCAAATATGAAATTTGGGTGGAAAGAAAGGAATTCCAGGGAATTGAATTGCCTGAAAATTGTCATTTATTGTGTTTGATTGGTATAATTTTTCATGTGGAAAATATTGAAATAAAAGTGTTTTTTGGTGTTCGTTTGATTTTGTTTTACTTGAAAATTATCAATTAAAAGGATAAAATTTACTGGTATTGGGGATAAAATTTGTTTCTATTGCCAAAAGAAAAAAAAGCAGAGAAAATTATTTATCTTTTGGTGTTCGTTTGACTTTGTTTTACATGTAAATTTTCAATTAAAAAAAAATATTTTTTTACAATCAGAGATATAATTTGTTTCCATTGCAAAAAAAAAAGGGGTCAACAATTTGTTGGAAACCAAGAAAACCAAGAAAATACAAATTTCCAAGAAAAAGCAAGCAAAACAAATTCCACGGAAAACATAGGTTATCAAGCACCAAGAAATGGGTGAAAATTGGAATTTGAATTCCATTTTCCATGGAATTTGGCCCTATCAAACATGGCCTTAGAGGGAGAGAAGCCAGAAGAAAAGTATATGCGTTTGTGTAGCATATGTTTATCATTCTAGTTTTGTGAATGAGAAGTTGATAGAATGAGGAAAATATCGTATTGTTCTCTTAACTAATAAAATCTTTTTCTCCTATGGACATCGATGGTTTGTAGGACCATATTAATTTCTTTATTTTTCTCTTTTTAATTTTTCGTTGCCTCCGTAATTATTGCGTGTTTTGTGGGAGAAAATCAATGAACAAAAATAATCACCCGATCTTAGAAATATTAACATTTGTCGAGACACTCGACAAGTCTACCATATGCAAAACTTGTAAGAGATTTGCTAAATTTTTTGCATTAGCTCTAATACGTTGGAACTCAAAGACTACAGATTTAGGATATATTAATACGATGGGCTGAACATCATCGATAAAACTAATAAAAAAGAACATAAAATCTATATCCGATAACATATATTCTAACGTATCAAATTTACAATCAATGTTATTGTTGTTCATTGGAGATGTGCAATATATATGTTAGGGAATACACCAATTATGTGCATATTATATTCACAAAAGCATACCGTTTATTTACGTGAAATCGAAACGTAATTTTAACTTACCAAAATAGAATTTGAGAAGCAAAACAATAATAGTTACCGAATCCGAATGCATGAATATTGATTCATCCTTTTCGATTCTTGAATGAAAGCAAGTTATTCTTTGAATCAAACCTCGCAGAACAAACATGTAAATAATGTTAGTCAGTTTCTTAGATCAAATCATAATTAAGAGAAATCAGAAAATGAAGGAAGAAAGATGCAAGTGATGAGTTTCTTGGTCGAAGCAAGTGTTTGACACTTGGTCTTTAAGATGAATTTGCCCCGCATCGGTGCTAACGGTTTTAGCAATCATCTCTCAAGATACAACGACCATGTTAAGCCATAGGAGCACTTCAAATGGCTTCGACCAGCGAACTCGAACGGAATTCCCTCTCTACCAAGGAAATGCATGAAAATGCTATGAAATTAGAAAGGAGAGAATTGCAAGAGGAGAATGAATGCTCAATGCAATTGGTGTACCCAAAACCATGTCCATAGAGTTCTATTTATAGATGTAGAAAGGGTGGAAATAAAATAGTGTGGGTCAAAACATGCATCCTTTCAAAAAAGTTGCAACACTTGGCCAAAACATGCATCCTTTCGAAAAGTTGTAACACTTCATTTCTTCCAACTTTGGTCCGCAATTTCTCATTCATTCGGAATTGGTTTCGAGATTCCAAATATACCACGACGATCTACTCGACGAGTAGAATAAGTTGGTCTATTTACTTTTGTAATTTGACCATCGGATCAAGTTCGAATATTTGGTCGAAATTGACATATAGTCACACCTTTTCATTTTCCACTTTTACACACCTTTTCATTTAATTATTTGAACCAATTCCAACAATATATTCATTGTGCGTGCACCCTTTTTTATTTTCATTTTTTGCTGTAACATGCATTCTTTGCTCGTCAAGAAGGAAAAAATATTGCCTATAGTTCCCAATTATAATTCAGACATAATTATGTATAGAAACAAGAAATTGAGTGTACACACATGAATGCTGAGCATCTAAATTGAAGAATAGCTATATACGGGATTGGAGTGATCTAGGGATGGCAAAATGTCAAGTTTCCATTTTGTCCTGTTAAGAATTAACATACACATCAGCATCCAACTATTCACACAATCATCGGCTACTCATTCTTGCTGTCACATTTCTGTTTCACTCACAAAATTCTATTGTAAATAGATTCCCAACATCTTCTGTAATTCAAGGATCTAACTACAGCTGTACACTCTAGAATCTTCTATATATACTCTGTAATCTATATAAATAATCATCTAGCTGAAACAGAAAATTTCCTTCTACATTCATTTTATTTCCAACTTGGTATTAGAGTTGCCATGGCCAACGCCAGTAACACACCACAAATCGATCCCAACTCTTCTCCCATATTAGCCTCAAACAGCAACGTTGCTCCAATGCAGGGAAGCAACCATAGCAACCATCTCTCACCCTTTGGTATTAATCTAACCCAAGGAGTATCAATTAAGCTTGATAAGGACAATTTTCTGCTGTGGCAAAATATGATTCTACCTATCATTTGTGGATACAATCTTGAAGGTTATATTCTAGGGGCAAAGGTGTGCCCTCCAGAATTCATTGGCACTCAAGTTACTGGAGAAGTAGGAACTAGTGTGGAAATGATAAAAAATCTTGAATACAGGCAGTGTATGTCAACAGAGCAACTGCTGATGGGTTGGGTCTACTCTTCAATGACTCCTGATATTGCTATGAGAGTCATGGGTGCCAGCAACTCAAATAAATTGTAGACTGCTGTAAAGGAAAGCCGTGGAGTTCAAAACAGATCCAGGATCACTTTCCGTACTGGTGAGCTTATGAAATCAAGGAAGGGAACCGTGAGCATTGATCAATATTTGATCAAAGTGAAGTTGCTAGCAAATAATCTTGAAATAGTTGGTAAAATTATTCCTCATTCAGACCTAATTAATCAAGTCTTAGCTGGCTTGGATGAAGAATATACACCAATTGTTGTTCAAATTAACAGTAGAGATCACATCTCTTGGGGAGAGCTGCAATCAACACTTATGACTTTTGAAAGTAGACTTGAACATCTCAATATTGTAAGGAATGAGATGGCAGGAATAAACCTTGATCAAACATTAGTAAATCTTTCCCAGAGATCAGGCTCCAACTATCACTACACTAGATCCTATAGGTCAGGCATTGGTGGAAGATTTCCAAATAAAAACAATTTCAGAGGTGGAAGAAGAGGTAGAAACAGAGGTGGAAACCTTAATGGGGGTGATAGACCTATATGTCCAGTATGTGGCAAGATTGGACATAAGGCTAACATTTGCAATTTCAGATATGGTGAGCGGTAAACAAGAACACCACTAAATCAGAGGAACAACTATAGCCCTTCACCAATAGCCTTTGTGGCATCCCTTAGCACTGTGAATGATCTAGCTTGTTTTGCTGATTTAGGAGCCAGTAATCACATCATTGCTGAGAAGGGAAACATTACTTCAGTTAATGAATATACTGGTAAGGAGAAAATAATGGTTGGTAATGGGAACAAGTTACAAATTTCACACTTTGGCATTACACAACCCCAACTTTGAATGATAAATCTTTTGTGCTAAATAAACTGTTGCATGTACCTGGGATCAAGAAAATTCTTACTAGTGTGTCACAGTTAACATCTTATAATCAAGTTTATATGGAGTTCATTCTAATTGATGTTTTGTTAAGGACAAGCTAATGAAGGAAATAGTGCTGCAAGGAAAGCTTAAGAAACAGTTGTATCAACTGGAATTTCCTCACCAAAACACTAAGTATCACTCTCAGAAGTCAGTTTCCTCAAATAAACTCTGCTGTGCTATCTCCTCTGTTAGTCCCAGTTAAGAATCTAGTCCTAGTCAAGAGTCCAATCAAGATTCATTAAATTCCAAAATTGATGTAGGCACAAGAGACTTGGACACCCATCCGGCCAAGTGGTGTCTCAAGTGCTCAAAACTTGTAATCAAAAGGTGAAAGACAATGAAATCAAATCATTTTCCGATGCCTGTCAGTTTGATAAAGCTCATCTATTGCCATTTTCTTTATCCACTTCACATGCCAAAACTCCCTTAGAACTCATACACACACATTTGGGGACAAGCACCAATTCAATCAACATCAGGCTTTAGATATTACATAACCTTCCTAGATGATTTCAGCAGGTTTACTTGGATATATCCCCTAAGATAAAAATCAGAAGCACTAAATGTTTTCATTCAGTTCAAGAAATTGGCTAAAAATAAGTTTGCAAGCAAGATAAAAACTCTGCAATCTGACTGGGGGGAGAATATAAAACCTTCACAAATCCCTTAGCACAAGATGGAATAGAATTCAGACACCATTGTCCTTACACATAAGCTCAAAATGGAAGAATAGAGAGAAAACACAGTTACATAACTGAAACAGGCTTGACCATCTTAGCTCAAGCCAAATTGCCCTTGAAATACTGGTCAAAATCGTTCCAAACAGTAACTTATCTCATAAATAGGATGCCTACATCTATACTCGAAATGCAATCCCCTTTCCAAGTCTTGTATAGAAAGGAAGTTGACTATAAGGCACTAAAAATTTTTGGATGTGTATGTTATCCTTGCCTAAGACCTTACCAAAAATACAAGTTCAGTTTTCGTTCAACAAAATGTATTTTTCTTGGTTACAGTGAACCTCACAAAGGTTATAAATGTCTAAACTTAACAGGAAAAATATACATCTCAAGGCATGTTGTATTCAATGAACTTGAGTTTCCATTTGAGTCCCTGTTTCTTGCTCAAAACCAACCTAATTTTACAGCACCTGAAACAATTGTGTCATACTTCCAATTTCCTTCCCAACTAAACAACTCAAATCCCACTTTAAATTCAGCTGATACAACTCATCAGGAAGGAGCCCATGCTATGCACTACTTACCTCCCAGCTTAAGTGACAATCAGCATGAAAGTATGAATAACGGTGTGGAGGATGATAACAATCAAATGATTGTTAGTGAGCAAAGTGTGGAAACTGAAGTTGGGACACCTCAGAACAATGAAAGACTAAAATTAGATGGTGATACTGATCACACTAGTTATCAGCAACTAGTCAGTAATGAGCTAAGACAGAGACATAATCAAAGAGCAAGTTATTAGGTGCAGCATCCTATGATCACTAGGGGAAAGACTGGAGTGTTTAAACCTAAGGTTTATTTGAGGAAATCAATTGAGTACAATCCCGAACCATCAGAACCTAAAAGTGTAAATGAAGCTCTGATGAATAAAGATTGGAAGAAAGCAATGGAGCAAGAATTCAATGCACTAACAAAAGTCAAAACCTAGAAACTTGTATCTTCATCACTAGCCTACAATATAGTAGGGAACAAGTGGGTTTTCAGAGTGAAACATAACTCAAATGGATCATTTCAGATGTTCATAGAATTGATCTATATAAAACTTTCAGTCCAGTTATTAAAGCATCAACCTTGAGGATTATACTTACTTTAGCAGTCTCAAAAGGATGGACAATTAGGCAAGTTGACATCAATAATGCCTTTTTGGATGGTGAGCTTGAAGAGGTAGTGTATATGAATCAACCAGATGGATTTGTAGACCAATCAAGACCTACTTATGTGTGCAAACTAAAAAAAAGCACTCTATGGACTGAAGCAGGCACCTAGAGCTTGGTATGACAAGTTAAGAACAACACTGATGAGCTAGAAGTTCAAACAGTCAATAGGTGACACATCGCTATTTTACTTCAAGAATGAGAGACATATCATTTTTGCACTCATCTATGTAGATGATATAATGGCAACAGGAAGTGAGACAGAAGTGTTGCAAAGATTCATAAATGAATTGAACAAAAAGTTTGCACTGAAGGATATGGGGCAACTACATCACTTTTTGGGAATTGAAGTATGGTGGCATGATTCAAGACTTCATCTTACACAAACAAGGTATATTGTTGAGATACTAAAAAAATTTGAGCTTCAGTGTGAAACCTTGCCCTACTCTTATCCTTGCTGGCAAAACCATGTCAAAGACAGATGGAGAAGTATTAAAAGATCCCTCAATCTATAGAAGTGCAGTAGAAGGACTGCAATACCTCATACACACCAGGCCTGACATCACATTTGCTATAAATAAGTTGAGCCAATTTTTACAATCACCTACAACCACGCATTGGCAAGCATTGTTAAGGTATCTAAAAGGGATATTGAATCAAGGGCTATGGATACAAAGAAGTGACAGATTAAATATAAATGGATACTCAGATGCAGATTGGGATCCTGTCCAGATGACAAGAGATCAACAGCGGGCTATTTCATTTACTTGGGAGACAACCTAATAGCCTGGCCATCGAAGAATCAACATGTAGTTGCCAGATCAAGCACGTAGTCAGAGTACAGAGCTCTTGCATCAGCAGCATCAGAAATCACTTGGATTCAATCACTATTTAAAGAACTTGAACTACCATAAGTGTCAACTCCGGTTTTGTGGTGTGATAACATGAGTGCCGATGCCTTAACAGAAAATCCCGTGTATCATGCCAGAACAAAACACATTGAATTGGATGTTCATTTTATCAAAGACAAAATCCTTGGAAAGGAACTGGAAGTATGTGCCATCTTCTGAGCAAATTGCAGACTTACTGACTAAAGGACTCATTCACTCAAGATTCCTCTTCTTAAAGGACAAGCTTGGAGTTACATTAGTACCGTCCAGCTTGAAGGGGGTGTTAAGAATTAACATACATACCAGCATCCAGCTATTTACACAAACATCGGCTACTCATCCTTACTGTCACATTTCTGTTTCACCCACAAAATTCTGTTATAAATAGAGTCCCAACATCTTCCATAATTCAAGGATCTAACTACAACTGTACACTCTAGAATATTTCAAGGATCTAATTACAGCTGCACACTCTAGAATATTCTACATATACTCTGTAATCTATATAAATAATCATCTAGCTGAAGCTATGTAATATATATAAAAGATTTCATTCAACATTCATTTTATTTCCAACTTGTCCTGACTCTTTATATATATAAACTTAAATTGTATTTGAAAAAGAAAAAATGAAACGGGATTGGAAACGACTATATTTTTAAGGGAAAAAAAGGAAAGAAGTAAAGAATGTAAGAGAGAGAGGGAAACAGGTTTCATGCCATGTGAATGTGTATTATTTAGGAATTTATTCTATCAAGACGAGCTCTATTGTCAGACACAAATATGGGGCTATTACTTGTTTCTAGGTGGAACTATTGGAAATAACGGAACTCCCACTTATTTAATAGAGTCCGATTCCGATATCCATCCCGAGTTTGGAATGGTGTTGCCGCCTATCTCCATGAATACAAGGCAACGCCAAATCACCATTTTTGGTAAATTTAAACAGAGCTCCACCATGTTCTTGTTTCTATTAAGTGTGTAGGTTTTGCTGTGGGAAATGTTGACAAGGGAATGTTCGTGGCAGTTAATGGCTATGGTGGTGGTGTTGCTTGAGACCATAATGGTTGTTTAAAACGAAGATGATACAGGATTGCTCTTATATCACTTTGTGGAAGAAAATATGAGATTATAGGAACAATATAAAGTAATTGATTACAAGAGCATAAGAAAAAATAATTTGCAAGAGTCAAAGATATTTCAAAAAAATATGAAGAAAAATACAAAGATTTTGAATTTACAACTTTATCTAACTTAATCTAAATTACAATGAAGAGCTAAAAATATATAAGGCATATCCAAATCCCTAAACGTAGAGTTATGGATGAAAATGAATGCTCAAAACACGTCAAAATACGAAAATGTTTGAATTGGACGAGCCACCGCTTAAGGGCCAGGAAGGCACCAAGCGGGCTATGTTGGCACTGCTCGAGTGCCAAGTAGCCACCAAGCTCTACACAAAATTTTAACGACATCGCTCAAGTGGTAGACTAACGGCTAGTTAGAGAAAAAGTGCTAAAATTTCTCTTGGTCCATATCTTGACCTCTTCAAGTCCAAAATAAGTTGCAACTTCCAATTGGACTTCTAAATGGAAATTCAACTAGAATTTATTAAATATACTTCGAATAGGATTCTAAACAAAATTCTAAATACAATTCGGGTCACACCCTAATTTTCACAAATTCTACATTGACACGAATTCCACTGTGATGAATAAAACTACAAAGATTCTCCACCTGGAGACAAAATTTCACTACAAGGAATAAACTTTGGGTTGGCAACAGTTCGGTTCGAGGTTGTTTCAACCAAAACCATCACTGAACCACCAATTTTTTGGTCATACCATAACCGCACCATAATCATGTATGTTGGTTCGGTTTAACTCAGTCCGTATCTTGGTTCGGACAGTTAATAATTGTGAAAATAAATTATTTTTTATAGATTCAGTCATCAAATTGGAAAAAAACAATTTATGAAAAACAAAAGAACATGAAAACGAAAACACGGTACTAAGCCAATTTAGCAAATAATATCTCAAATAAAAATGCAAACAATAACCCAATTTCCAAATGTAAAATTCGAATTTAACAAACCATTTCCATATATGTTTAATATTTGTGTAGTAAGGTGTAGGGTTACTGGGTTAGGTTTAATGGACTTAACGGGTCGATAATGGACTAGAATTTTGGGCTGGATAGAATCATAGAAAAAATAATGGAAAGCCCAATTGCCTAATTAATTTTTTTAATGGGTAATCGGTTCGGGACGGGGTGACAACGCAAATACCATACCCGTCCCGCCCCGAATCGGGGCATTAAAATCAAATATCATATCACCCTATTAAGCCATTGGTTTGATTTTTCTGCCCTATTCAGTTCGGTTATCTTCGATTCGATTTTGACAATTTAAATTGCCATCCCTAAATAAATTCAACTCTTCAGAAAAAAGAAAAAATTACAAATGAAATTTTACATCAAAATTTTCAACTGTAATTATTCTCCAAAACTCTGATACCAAATTAGGACAAAACTCAGTAACTAAGTATTAACAAAATTCTGAACAATGGGCTTTGATATCACTAAACTGGGCAGAAACAAGCCTTGAAATAAAATCATCACAATTAAATGCATCAAAAGAATGATATTGGCTAGAATCAACGCACTTAACCACATTCAAACCAAAATCAACTAAATAGTCTAAATTAGCAACATTGTACCTATGTGGAGGCTTATGATAAAAAATGGGTATGTGACTAGCAATTGAACACAATGACACCACCGATAATGGTGGCAAAGCGACATTACCGATAACTTCTAAATTCAATTGAGATGCATTGCTCAAAGAAGACCCCATACTAGACTCAAACTCCAAATCCATCTATCTAAGTTCTCAAAATATGTTGATTGATTAAAGATTCTGTATAACAATGCAAAACATATAACTAAGATTTTCTATGTTCCTGCAACAAAACATGGGCTCTTTTACTAACCTTCTAGATTCTATATTCAACAATATACTTGTATTATTTTGAATCAAGGGTACTCAAAGAGATAAGATTTCTCTTCAAATTTGAAACGTATTTCACTGCATTAAGTGATTTAATTGTCTCATCAAACATCTTTATTCTAATTCGGCTAACACCAGCTATCCTATAAGGTGTATTATTTCTCATTACCACAACATCTTTCAAAATTGTTTCATATGTTGAAAATAAATCCCTATTGGGACACATATCAAAAGTACAAGTTGTATCAAGAATTTAATCCTCATCAAGCTTAGAGTCATAAATAAGTAGAAGTTTTCTGTCACATTGACAATTTTTTGCAAAACTGACTTCTCTTGAAGTTTCTGATTTGCAGTCAATTTTTCTTTATTCTGTAACTTATAACAATCCTTTATCAAGTGCCTATTTCTTGCAATAATTATAAAATTTGAAATTAGACTTTAATTTGCCCCTTATACAACCACTATTAACAATAAGGTCATCTCCATGAACCTCAAATCCAACAAGATACTTCATATTCTCTTTTAAATATAAAGCATCATAGACTTCTGACTAAATAAGATCGTATTTCTATAAGATATATATGAAGCGGTCAATGAACACAACAAAATCAAATCTAAATCTTCACCATGATATTTAACCTCCAAAGTTTCTAAATTAGCGGCGATTTCCTTAAAAACAGTTAGGTGATCTTCGAGGGATGTACCTTCTATTATATGATGAGAATATAGGTGCTGATTCATATGCAATTTGCTAGTTAGACTCTTTGTTATGCATAATTACTCCAATTTCAATCATAATGCAGTGGCAAACTTCTCCTTCAAAATGTTTTGAAAAATATTATTTGAAAGATAAAAATGAATCTGAGATAAGGCCTTTCGATTTTTCCGTTGTTTCTCCTGGTGTTCAAGTTGTAAACATCTTATGAAAACCCAACAACATGTCATCCAAATCCATCTAAGTGAGTATTGTTCGCATCTTTACCTATTTCAACGAAAATCTTGTGTTACGATCCAAAAGTGAAATATCATACTTCATGACCGCCATCACAAAAGATCAAACTAAGCTCTTAACTTGATCAAAACCTTGATCTCCCAATAATTTCCAAGCCTTTGGCTTTGATACCGGTTTGTCTAAAATGAAGATGATACCGAATTGCTCTCTTATCACTTTGTTGAAGAAAATATGAGATTATAGGCACAATATAAAGTAGTTGATCACAATAATACAAGAACAAAATCATTTACTTTATTGAAGAACAAAATCAAGAGCATAAGAATTTTGACAATGTTGCTAGAATGATAGGCTAGCGGAAAAAAGTTGAAAATTTCTCCTTAGTCTAGGGTTATGTACATGTACATTATGGTGTCCATAAGGGTGTCTATAATGTATAAGTGGCATAACATCATTGGAGGGTTAAAAATAGTTTTTTCAACCCTCCAATCATTGAATTTCATGTGTATATTATGGACACCCTTATGGATACCATAATGTACATGTAGAATTATCCCCTTGGTCTATATCTTGACCTCTTCACGTCTAACACATATTTCAACTTCTAATTGAGCTTTCAAATAGAACTTTAATTAGAATTTGTCAAAAAAATTTCGAACAAGATTCCAGATGACATTTCAAATAGAATTCGGATCACACCTTATCTAACAACGGTATAATTCATATTTAAAATGCACCTTTGTTCTGCTTGAGGCAACTTGTGTAGCTCACGTTCTTGCTAGTAAACTCGTTTAGGTCTCTGCTCAGTCATAATGGGTTGGAGATTCCTCAAGTTTCATTTAGGAGTCTGTAATGGTTGACAGTAATAAGAATTAACGTCGGTTGCTTCACAAAAGGAAAAAAATGACAATTAGCATATTGACATGTTAATGTTAGAAAATAGTACGTTGGATGTACTGAATTAACATGAAAATAATAATTAAC